TCCCACCCCTCATGTCCTTGAATATCCCAGCCCCTGTTGAATTATACCCACCACTCACTCCCTACCCAACCACAAACCCGAAAATATCTCGAAGAGACACAAGAAAACCCCGAGCTCCCAAGAAAACCAAGAGATCCCCTAACCACAACAACTCATCCCAAGAACACTCCGAACACGATGGACATCCCACACCCGAACAACCCCCAGAAAACCAAACCCTGCTCCCAGTACCCCAAGCAAACCCCGAAAAGTCCAAAATAATCCCAAACCAGGCCCCACTATCCCAGGAATCCCCTGCCCAACAGGAATACTCAAAACTCCCTGAAGGCCCAACCCCCATAGTACCCCCTGAACATCCCGAAACCGAACACATCACCTCAGTAACCCCAAACCTAACCTCACTCCCCTAGGAATTCCCGACCCGTCAGGAATCCCCTGCAAATCTAGAACCCTCAAACACAACCCCAAACCAGTCCCCAATAGCCCCGAAAATTCAGACCCCGGGAAGACTCAACCCCAGAAGCACCCTCCGAACATCATGAACCCCATCCCATGACATTACTGACCCCGAATCCAACCCCCCTACCCCGGAAAAGAATAATAATTAGAAATAGTTAGAGAATTAAGTTACGAAAATTAAGGCAAGACTAGGATTGAGAGGTAGATTAAGAACCCCCGAAGAAAAAAAAAAGGATAAGGGTAAAAATTAGGAATAAGATTAAGTTAAGAACCCCCCCCCCCCCAGGAAAAAAGTGAAATAAATTAGCAAATTAAGGATTTGTGGATGAGGATCAGGATTAGGTTAGGACCCCCGCCCCAGAAGAATTACCATCCCAAGAAAATGAAAAAGAATCACACTAATAATAACGGAATGAGTGAATGTAATGGTTTGGTATCGTTTAACATGGGGTTGTGTAAACCCCATGTATGCACTACCCCCGGGACTCTGTGACGAGGCAGAATCTTGCGCCCCCCCCCCTGCCCCCTAATTAATACAGCTTATTTGTCCTAGGTTGAGTTAGGTTTAAGTTACTCTTTTTTCGCCACCGTTGGGCAACCCATCCCCAGATATTCCTTAACCCCCGGCCCGCCCCCGGCCCGCCCTAGCACTCACGCATCAAGGAAGAGGATCCCCCGTGACCCCGGAAGAAAGAGACATCCCCCGTGCGAGATCCCCAGATGAGAAGGAGAAGGACGCCCGATGGCCCCCCCAAAACCAGGAAGGAAGAAGTGAAAATAATTGGCAGCTATCACTCGTGCCACAACTGCCCCACGAGTCACTGCCTCATAAAGCAACGAAGTTACCCCCAAAGACTCCCGTGAAGAAGTACCCAGGAAAGACCCTGAAAAAGTGTTAATAAGGAGTAAAAGTGTGAAGAGACAAAGGGTGAGAAGAGAAACTGTGTGAAGGAGAAATACTGTGAAGGACTAAATTTTGTGCGTGAGAGGAACTATTGCGAAAACTGGTGAAGGAGAAAGAGAGTAATCTTGTGTGGACGAACAGTTGAGAGTAATCTCGTGTGGAGGACCCGATTTGCCGAGAGGAAAATTGTACGGCTGAACATCTTGGAGAGGATCCGAGGAGAGCCGAGAGAACGAAGGAAGGAGGTAAAAGCCCAGAGGAAAACCGAGAGAATTCTGAGGACACCATTCCCCGTGAGTGCCCCATTTTTTATTCCCTGCCCCAACGAATTTCCCTGCCCGGTGCCAATTTCCCCCCAACGGTGAGGCTCCAGTAAATTTATTTTAGTTGTAGATTAAGCCCCCTATTAATTATTACCTTTTCAGTCGGCCCCCCTCACTTCTCCCCCTCTTTCCAGAGTTAGAGTCACCCCTTCTTTTTATTATATTATTTCGCGTAGCCGCAAGTGAGTTGGCCTTACCCCCCACCCTCGAGTTATATTAGTTAAAAGGCCCGGATTATTTTGATGTAATAGTTTGTAAAAAGAGTAGAATACAGATAGTCAATTTATAAATCCCCCCGAGTAATTATTGAGAATCCCCTCCCTCTTATTATTTCAGGTCCTCCCATAAATTATAATAAATTTCCCTTTTATTTTTCAGATTATCGTAAATTCCCCAATATCGTGCCTTCGCCGGGAATTATTATATTTTAATTCCCCGGCCAAGGTCACAATACGAAATCGCTAAGAAAATGCTACAAAATCGGGACAAAGTGAAATGACGCAGATATGTGCTCTCCTAAGCGTTCAAGTTTAGACTGAAATATATATTCTAAATTGCAGGATACAATGTACCGTACACATTTTAGTTACCTGAAGATATTAGGATCAAAAGAGGGGACAATATCAATAAAATAGAGACTGAAGCAGCTGCCTAAGTTAGAGGTACCGTTATTCAACCTGCTGTAACTTCGTTAGTTTTTCTCCGAATGACCTAAAACTTTAACACAATATTCTTGAGATGTTGATGGTTCAGAAAAAAAATTTTTTTTTTTGGTGATTGGCATGCCTAGCGTGGGCCATTGGTTGGCCCAGTCCTCAACCCGTACTTGGGAAAGTCAGTTTTTTGGAGCTTTGCTCACAATCATAAAATTCGGACTTTCATTGGCGTTACTTGAAGCACCAGCAATGAATTGCTTTGTTTTGCCAGCTAGTCCATTAAACGGATTTTTCAAGGCTTTGAATAAATTCTCATCTTTAAAGCCATCCCCAATAGTTTGTGTTGATATGTTTCTTGGTTCTTATGGTAATTACACCACTACCCACAATTATTATGAATATTAAAGGAAATGGCCTTCGCCATTTCAACAGCATTTCCAATATTTTGAGAAACACAATAGTTGAAATTTTTCTGTAAATAACTTATGGCTGTGCCAGTCAGCTCTTTACATTTTTTTTTTAATTTTGCATAATTCGTCTACAACTCCTTTACTGGTATGATTTTTATCTGACTGCTTCGCAATTTCATGCTTGTTGGCATTACGTATTGCACAATAATATGCACGATATTCCACATATCCCAACAATTTTCCCTACAATTTACAACCGCAAATTTCCTAATGAAGAGAGGATGGAACGTGTAAAAAATCGCACTACTCGTTCGAAGCAATTATCATTGACAAGTGATCTGAAGTTGGGTGAGTGGTCCCAAATTTTTTTTCCATAGCGTGAAGTATTGTTTGATAGCAAAGTGAAGTAGTTTTAAAATATCTTATTTTGATATATGTCCATTATTTTTAGAAAACATCGATATCGACACAGGTCTGGAGAACGACGTCCCTGAAGTTGAGACCGTCAAAACCTGCAGTATTGAGATACAGACTGAACGAATGCCAGAAGAAGAATACTTTTCCTGGAAATTCAGTTTCTTATTTCGTAGTCGTGAACCATGCAAATTGGATATTCGAAGTGATTTTCTTATTAATGAACTTTAACAAGAAACAATACTTGCTTTTGATAGATATGACGTGTCGACTCAAACTGAAATTTATCTTCAAAAACCCCATCGAAAACAAATAATGATTCCCACGCAATATTTCAAAGACACAAAAAATGCACGCAGTGGTCCCGAAGCGCCGTACATAAGAGGGTTTCGTGGATATCTACACATTTCAACAGATGTGATGATGCGTTAACTTGCAGGGGTTTCACTTCATTTTTTTTTCAATTCTCTTGAATCTTATTCCCGATCGCAGAGATGATAGACAACACATTTCTTACCAAGGGTTATCTAAAGAAAATAGATTACTCTTATTTTTGATTAAATTTAAGCTTGGGTTTACTTTTTGTGCTCTTGGATGTTTATTGAATTGTCATCGTAGTACAGCATCTCGTATTTTTTACTCATTACTTGAGATTTTAACTCAAAAAATGAAATCATGGATCTTTTGGCCCTCAAACGAAAGGGTCAAGGCAAGACTACCTAAATTGTTCTATAATTATTCCAACTGTCACTGCACTGAAATTCCTTGTGATACTCCACCAACTGTGGAGCAAAGAGTATTAACATATTCAAATTATAAAAATAAATTCACTCAAAAATTTCTGATCGCAATAACTCCTGATGGATTCATCTGAAAAGTTTCCAAAGCTTATGGAGGCAAGGCAACTGATGCATTCATAGTCAATGATTCAGGTTTTCTTGCCTTACTAGAGCCAGGTGATGAAATTTTAGCGGATAAGGGTTTCCCGCAAATTCGATCGGAATTGACAAAGCGGAATGCCATCCTTACAATTCCACCTCACGCATATAATCCACAATTTACAGAAGAAGAAGTTGAATCAACCGATAATATTGCCTCCGTACGCATTCACATTGAGTGAGCCATCCAAAGGATCAAATTGTTGCATACATTGGATCAGTCTTCCCTAGACTTACTACCCTATGTCGACTCCATAATGCAAATATGTTCCATTATCGCTAATAGTCAACCTCCATTGATAAAAAATGGCTAAAGAGGATTGACATAAAAGGGGTTAAATTAACACAAGATTTATCGAAATTATATTAATTATTTATTATTTATGTACTTTATTATAACGAGAATGATTTTATAAATATTGGAAATTTGCAACATTCGTATTTCTAAGAATATGTAACGGTTACAGGAATAAGGGCGTTTGATCTCCAATAATGAATGATCCTCCAAAATCACTCCATCGGGACTTGCCGTTAGAAAAGGTTGATCCATTTTACTAAGCCTACCTTCACTACTTTCAATCATCCCTGCTCAATAAAAATTAACGCGTGCTTTCGATTCCATCTTTAACCCATACTCCATTGCCTCAGTCATTCTCCCCTTAAATTTTTCATTTTTAAACTGATTCGCTAAGCTCTCAAAATTTTCAACTCGGGTTTTTACGCCATGAGCTCGAGATGAGGTCGTGATTCTCTTATACCTCTCATTATGCCATTGGAAACAAGACGATTAACCTTGATATTCCTTAATAATTCGAATCCAATCATCTTTGGTTACTTTGATTGAATCATAATTAGCTTTGCAATCTTTAGGGCACTGAAGTTTTTTAAATTTTAGTCGCCCAGCGACAGCAACAATTAATTCAAAATAATGGTAAGTAAAGTTCGAGCTAAAGGCGTAAAGTCATTCGCAAAGATGGCTTAACTGTATGTCCTGTATTCTTTCTTCTATTTGTAAATATTTACTAAAAGCACAATCTATTGAAAACAATTCGGGAGGTACGTTTGTTGCATCATCGAATGAGAAATGTTCATCTAGAGCTCGTATTATTTGAGGAAACAATTTGTCTGTTACGCAGCCTTTTTTATACTTTTCACGTTGGACTTCTGAAGGTTTATTCCATGTTTGAGGGTCATCAGTTTTTGAACTAGTGCACTCTTGGTTCACAAAAATGCAAACAGCTGCACTGTGTTTGCCTCCTCTTCGGGACTGTCCGGGACTGTCCAGCAAGGCAAGTACAAAAGGTCCTTTTAATCTTTCGATTCTCTCCCAACTAAAGGAAATGTGGCTTTATAAATTTATTCATTTTTTTTAAACGATACTCACCTCAACCTCTACTTTATAATTTGGCTAATTAAATTTAACTTGAGACATCGCTGTACCATGAATCACTCGGCCCTTTTCAGTTATGTGTTCATTGACAGGTTTAGCGGCATGATGGCTTCTGAATATGCTCCTCCTGACAAAAAAAAAGATTTTTATCATATTTTTATTCCTAAAATAGTATTGTAATTATTTTAGAAACGAGCAGGAGAAATTATTTGTCTGTTAGGGAGATCGATCTAAAACACAGATGATATATTTAATTTATCATTAACTTACCTTGCTTTGCTAATGCTTTTTTGACCAAAATAATCAAGAGAGACCGACTAGAATCTACATGATATTGTTACTGTTGTCATGAATGATGCTTTATTATTCTCATTTTTTTACAAATCTTTTTTTTCATAGCGAAGAACTCTTATGTTTAATTGGTATGTCACGATATTTGTTATTGTGGTGAGGAGTCAGGCGCTTGTTCAAAATGAAACCACTAGAGAGCGCTTCGGTTACAAATTTCTCAAATGCGTCAGGCGTATACACCTTGGAGATGACGGTGAATGTGAAATAATGAAATGTGGAACTGTTCTTGTTAGAATAGTATATTATGCACCTAGAGAGTAAAAGTATTTTCTGACGAATGTGATATCATCACACATAATCACATGAGTCAGAAAATACTTTTACTGCCGTGGTGCATATGCTATTTCACATAGACAAACGTTACGTGAATGATACGATCGAGAAGGGCATTGCAAATGGAGTTGAATTCAAGGACAAGAATGATTTTTTCTATGAATCCTGTGAAATAAATAAATTTCATCATCTGCCGTTCTATCGAATTAATGAGAAGAAGAAAATGTTACCTAGTGAATTTTTCCACTCCGATATCTGTGGACCAATGGCAACTGAATCCCTTGGTGGTTCAGGTTATTCTCTGGTGTTTAAAGATGACGCATCGAGATTTCATCAAGTTTAATGCATCCAACATAAATCTAAGGTGTTGGAATGTTTCAAGTAATTCGAGAAGAATGTCGAAAATAGATTCAATCAACCAATGAAGATATTGAAATAAAATATTGAATAAATATTGAACAAAACAGCATCAAGTGTGTGACGAGGCAGAATTTTGCGCCCCCCCCCCTGCCCCCTGCCCCCTAATTAATACAGCTTCTTTTTCCTAGGTTAAGTTAGGTTTAAGTTACTCCTTTTTCGCCACCGTTGGGCAATCCATCCCCAGATATTCCTTACCCCCGTCCCCGTTTCCCCCCGCCCTAGCACTCACGCATCCAGGAAGAGGATCCCACGTGACCCCGGAAGAAAGAGACATCCCCCGTGCGAGAG